GACACCTGTCTTTTCAAACCAAGACACTGACCTTCATTTGCATTTCAGAATTCCTTTTTGCAAAATAATGAGAACTTGCAAAACTTACACCATTGTTGATATACTTTTTTTTTTTTTTTACTTCTGTAAATTCATCTTTTAATGTTCTTTAAAACAGCTCTTTAAAAATTCATGCACTAAATTGTATTTGGCTGTTCAAAGAACTGTACCTTACCTATGTTACTGCGTTAGTGTAATTTTTCTGTATATTTATACATTTATGGTATCTTGTTATGTCTTTATGACATCTATAGTATGTCATTAGTCTTTTCAGACTGTTGTTAGTTAATGTGTTGATTAAAAAATATCACCCAGTCAGTACTGATTAGTGGACATGTTGGAGACTGATAGTCTTGATGATGTAGATTCCAATTAATGTGGGGAATGCACTGCGTTTTTTTTCTCATACCTGAAGTATGTGGAACTCTTAGGTGGAAAATACCTTGCTTTTGGAGATGAGAGCAGAGTTGCGCTAAAAGCAATAAATGCAATGTTGCAGCAGAATTTGGCAAGCGCTCTTCCAAGTGGTAACTTTGAACAGTTGCTGGTGGCTTGCTGGCTTCAAATAGGTACCTAGTCTCAAGGCTGGAAATCGTACCGGAGTGTTGCTGTGTTTGAATTCAGTGAGGCTTGACCTGATTACCACATTTGTCTGGCCCAAGTCTTTTAGTACTGTCACTGCTGCAGATAAATAAAAGGCTTTGAAGGGCAGTCAGACAGATTTTACAGCATGACAAAATACTGTTACTAAGTGCAGTATTGTTTCTTTGAAGCATTCTGCACTTTATATCTAAGTGCAGACGCATACTTGCGCATACAAAGCTCTCCGAAAGAGAAAACTAATCAAACTTCTGTTAATAACTGTTCAGCAATACTGAAGACTTCTGCTCCCTCTAGGCGTGGGGTCTATTTATACAACTGCTTAATTTGTAAATGTGACAGCAAGAGCTGGTGTTAAGCTTGTGACTGTGTCAGATCAAATGTGTGTGTATTGATGGGTCCACATGTTGTACTGAGAAAGTTAAATCTGAGAGCTGGCAGCTTGCGCTTTCCGCTGTAAATCAGTTGCTGCATTTGAATATGAGAGGAGAGAAAGTTATTCCCTGGAAAGCTGGGTTTCAATGACGTCTAAACTGACATAGAAGAGTATCGAAAGCACTGCGCTCCATCCGTGAGACAGGCTGTATAGCTGTGCTGTTGGACTTTGAGGTCCACCCAAGTTTTACAGCTAAACTCCAGCTTCAAGGTCAGAAAGTATGGGTAACTAGATTGCAACCATATTCAAAAGAAATGTGTGCAATAACTTTTGTGTAGGTAGAAAGAAGATAATTTGGAAGGTGAGTATATTCTGAAAGTAGCTGGAAGAGGAGGAGCTCTCACAGGGGCAGTTTAGAAACACAAGTGATGAGATTATTGTCGTGCTGCTAATAAAACTTCCAATCTAGTTGTTTAATACAGATACCCAGCATCTTACTAGGTTGAACTCTGTGATTTTATTTGAGACCTGGTCTCAGGCAAACAGTAGGAGAATAAAGTGTAGAGCTGTATATGATGTATTTCATCTGAAGTGATGCCAAAACTTACTACTTCCCTTGGTATTCACATAGCTGTTTTGAACATATTTCTCTTTTCCCTAAGTGTGTTTAGGTTAGATAAACAGTAATTATGACTATCCTTTTCCAAGTTGACTATATTCATTCATGTTTAATACAAGCATGTAAACTGCTAGTGATTAATGGTATTAAAGATGGTAAAAGGAAAAAGAAGTGTAGCCGCTGTGTCATGGGTCTTCTGTGGTTGTACAACCAAAGTGATGGTAATCTCCGCATTGTTGCTAGACTGAAGACAATTGCCATGACACCATCTTACTACCAGTTTCTATTCTCAGGCTTATTTACCAAGCGAACCCTTCTTCTTCTGTTTCTTGATTTGAGTGTTCCCCTTTTTTTAAGCTCCTCCCACCCAATACAACCCCATTTAACAACCATTTCTGTTAACTTTTGTTCAGGGAAAAAAAATCAGTCAGTCCATGACTGACTGCATTAGATATCACGCATGAATGCCTTTAAAAAAAGAACCAACCAAAAGAAAAACCACCCACAAACAAAAACAGCAAACCAAACTCGACTCTCTTCCAACTTTCACAACTTTATTCCCGTATTTTTAAATTATTAGATTTCGTGTTGATGACATTGCTAACCCTTCTGTAAGGGAAGGCTTGTGGGTTCCTAAAAAGACACGTTAAGGTTTTGTAGTTTTGTTTTCTTGTTTGGGTTTTTTTTCACTTTAAAAGTAAACACAGAGGCATGATTAAGAAATTGAAGGGATATGTGTGCAGATCTAAAGGATTGTAGGCTTCTTGTGTTCAACAAAACTTAAGGGACTTTCATTTTTTAAAATAACTTCCTTTTGTGTTTTGGGTCAGTGATTTCGTTACGGGGGAGGAGGTGTTGGCAGTAGAAATCGCTCTTTGCAGATGTGATGGAGTACCTGCCAGCAATAAAGGAGGGCAGGAATGCTGTTCGGAAATCCAGCGCTGTAACTGTAGCTGCAGCCAGTGCTAATGGGCACTTGTTATGCTTGGTATGTCGATGGAAGTACTGCTCAATCAGGTGAGCAGCTATCAAGTCTACTTCTTTTAATGTTGAATTCAAACACAAGCTCAAATTCCAGAGAAATGTACTAGAAATCTTACTCAATTTTAATCTTTACATTTGTAAAAAAAGGTTTTCAGTGGGAACCGTGGCTGCCTGAATCTACGTTTGTTTGCTATGAAATGTTTTGTTAAATTACCCATTTTCTTTGGGACTGGTCCTACAGTTAATTGACAAGTATGTATGTTTAGGTGGAAAATTGTTTTACACTGAGGAACTGGCAACAAAACCCGATCAAGTCATTGAACGTTGCTGTGTTCGTAACTTCGTTCATTTAAGCCACTAGTTTGCCTAAAATAAAGTCAATTCAAAGTGGGTTTGTTTTAACTTTGTATAAATAGAGGGAGCACTAGTCAGACTGAGTACACAGGAGGCAACTAGTAAATCTCAAACTTAATTCAAACTTACTGCCTTTTTATTGATGCATATGTGATACAAAAATATCCCTGTTTCCCTCTGGTTCGGTATTAAATACAATAGATGGCTGTTACTGGGAAGCCCTCTGGAGTTTTTAATCTCTGTCATGACTCCATTCCATAATGCGTAAAAGTAGCGTTAAAGTTGTGGTTTTTTCCTTTACAAGCGAAAGTGGAATAGTTTAACTCAGTAGAGAAAAATAAGTGGTGGGATGTGACTTATATTTGATACTATAGCAGGTGATCCTCTTCCAAAGACACAGCAGTACCCACTAAATGTCATTATTCTTTATGTGTGTTTGGGCTGTGATTGTGACTTACAGTGAATCTGCATTTGCGTGTTGACATACAGGCATCCTTTTCGTACTGTAGATTATCAGAATCAATGGTGATGTTACTGGGCCTGACTGCTTCCAAAAGTACGTGAGGATTTGTGTGTCACTTTTTCCTTTATGAACTGCACAGAATGCAGTTGCTGTATGCTTTTACAGTAATAACTGTTATTATTGCTCAGTGTATGAGGTTAGCAGTCTAGGAATAAATTTTTATCACAAATTTTCTTAACAGAAGTACGTTTTTTCTTAAGGTGAGGCTGCAGTGCAAACCGGAGATCTGTTGCCATGTAGGATTTGCGGAAGGACTTTCTTTCCAGCAGCACTGGTAAGTGGTATCATTGCTGTTGGCTTTTAGATCTGGTAAGTTCATATGAGAGTTAAGCAATGGTCACTACAGCTAAATAAAGTAGATGTAGATGCTCGGGTTTGGTGGGTTTTTTCCCCCCAAATAATTATTGATTCCAGTTTTCTCAGTTTTGAAACTCCTTAGAAGGAGGCTAATTTTATTTCAGCATCACATCACCTTCTGAAAATACATGCTTCTAAAAGCATCTTCTCTAGGGTCACAGGATCATTCCTTGCTTCTGCAGATGTAAGCCCTAGCATTATGCAGTCTCAGCTAGTAAATGAAGTGTTTTGTTGGCCACCTTCAAAATACTGTGTTCTCCAGACTTAATAGAAACTGGTCTGTCCTTTGAATATGAATTTCAGACACCTCTGATTTGTCTTGCCACTCCATGCAAGTGCTGCCTACCTACCATCAATTTTTTTATTTGCAAGGAACAAATATAGGTGCCTTCTATTTTTCTTCTTCATTGCCCAAGTTTTTGTGACCGTATGTATGCATTTGAGAATTGCTGTAGTTCCGTTTTAAAAGTAATGACTGGCATAAATGTTTGAGTGAAAGCAGTCTGATCTTATTCATTGGGAGCTGGGTCTTGTTTGCTGATTGACATACCAAGAAAGAGGGAAATAACATGTTAATAACTTACGTTTTCAAAACTAAATTCTATATTCTCCTTCTGTTTTTCTTCTGCTTTTAGAAAAAGCATGGACCTATTTGCCAAAAAACTTCTGCCAAGAAAAGGAAGACATTTGATTCTAGCCGACAGAGAGCAGAAGGAACTGATATTCCCACAGTAAAACCTCTTAAGCCACGAGTATGTTATAATTTACTCTGCATATGAACATTTTAGGCAAACTATGTATGCATTATAATAAGGCTTATTTCTGCTGGCAATTCGTGATAACTAGGTCAACTAAGATCTGGAAGAAATCTTAGCTGTAATGTTGTGTACTAAAACAGGGCATGTACTTAGCTTGAAGTAAGAGCTTAAAACATATAAAATTCTTTCTTTTTTGGCTTCTTAGCCAGAACCCCCAAAAAAACCTTCCAACTGGAGACGAAAGCATGAGGAATTTATAGCAACTATACGAGCAGCCAAAGGACTTAATCTTAAAGATGGTGGAAAACTCCCTCCACCACCTCCGCCATCTTATGACCCTGGTATGTTAAACAATTGAGTTCTTTAGAGATTGGGTGGGGTTTTTTTGCTTAATTTGTAAAAAATCGGGTTGGAAAGGAATTTGTTGGAATACAATATTCGCAAGCTCTTGAAGGATGAATACCTGATTATGCCTATGCAAATGCTGGTTGTGGAGTGTGGGTCTGGCTGGCTAGCATCCTTTGTAGCTTTCAAAGCCCATGACTTTGTTTTTAGTGCATTGAAAGGTAGTTGTGGCCAACTAGCAGCTTGCTACCATCTTACAATCTCTAGGCTGGACAAACTGTTCAACACCTTGTTTCTGTCTACAGCAGTGGAAGTGCTCAGAAAGAGCAGGCTACGTTTTTAATTACCTGCTGATGCTGGACACCCACAATCTATCTATATTGTAGGAATACAGGTCTTCAATATTCTTCAAATGTATTCTTTCCCATTTCTTGCTAAATTCACATTTAGTTTCATGTTTGCAGTGTATGCCTGAGTGTGCATGTGATCCTTCTTCATGTGGTGAGCGTACTCGCGTTTTAGGTATGTGAGATGTCTGGGATTTGTATTAACAAGGTCCTTGGTTGCCTTCAGAACTGAGGCTGGGTAAAGTGTTGAAGCAGTGTGATGTGAGGGAGAAGGAAATACACCTTTCAGTTAACTTCTGTGATGTGATAACAGATTGGAGAATGTATTTCTTCATCTCATCCGAAGAGCTAAACCATTTGATCAGCCCTATGGCTATTTTCAGAAAGATTGGGAAAAATGGAAAAAAGCATCTGTTTGCTTCTGCCTGTCTGTGGTCAAGTGAGGATGTGGGTGTTCCCTACCTTGTTTCTCTACAGGAAACGTGTTAGTCCAGTATCAGGGTTGTAACTGTGCGTTCATAGTAAGAAGTGAAGTGGTATTATTCAGCATTCAATACACCCTATCTCTGTCCCTGCTAGTCTTTTCCCTTTAAAAGGAAAGAGTTCTGTGTTAATATTTCCTACTTAATTGCATGCTTTCAGTTTTCAACCAAGCAGTATTGCTGGTTTTTTGCTCTCTTGTTCCACCTTTTCCTTAGAAGTGTGGAATAGCCTCATGATACTAAGAAGGACTTTGTCATGCCATTTGCGTTGAACTGGACTCCGTATGTATACTTATTTTGATAAGTTTGTTTTTTATAAAGCTCACATTGAATCCTAACAGTTCTCCTGGACAGTATGAACAGTACTTCCAGATAGCCAGGTGGCTGGCTGGTGCCAAGCATTTTACAGAAGGCTGAAAGTACAGTCCCTAATTCTTAAAAGAGTTTTATGTTAATCCTCTACGGTCTGATGCATTTGCTTTAGTGGGCTTTGAAAGTCTGCTGTGGGCTAGAAACTTCTTTTCTTTATTATCTAGGGGCTTCCACAGCTGCTTTATGAATCTATTTTGCTTTTTTTAACTTTTCTTTTTTTTTTTTTAACTTTGTTTGGGATTATTTTGTTTCAACCACGTAGATATTATAGTTCTTCTGCTTCTGAGTGTCTGTCTCTTAAGGTGCAGTTCATGTTTGAGTATTCTGGCAGTAATGGAGTTTATGTAGAGTAAATAAATAAATCCTTGTCATTATCACATGAGGTTCCCATGCTGTCACTTCTCTGAAGGATTCCTGTGTTCTTACTGTGTCCTTTGCTCACACTTCTTGGGTCATAGTTCAGAGGCCACTACTTCATTTGACTTACTCAAAATTGTTTGATAATTTAAAGGGATAACTACTTAAGCCAAATCTGCTGCATTTGGAGTAGTAACATGTAATCCAAATCTTATTTTGGATTGTATAACTATAATCTTGGAGGCAGTGACTGTTGAATCTCTTCTCATTTTTTTTCAATATGTTTCTAAAAGCACCTGGGAACATAACAGTTTAACCTGCTTTACCAGTGTCCAGCTCTTTCTGAAGGTGGTATTTACATGGGTTTGAATACTGTAATCTGGGGAATTCAGCGTCCATATGTCTAGGCACTAAAATGTCTATCTGAAACTGCAGTCCAAAGAGTTTACTTCCCCAGGGCAGTGTATTTTAAGGGGTATATTCCCAGCATACAGATGAGAGATCTTTTAGTATCTTAAACATTTACATAGCCTTTCTAGTTTCTCCCCCAACGTTAGTTGTAATATTTCTTGCAAGTAGTACTGTTTGTAATGTGACTAAATTAATCTTGAAAAATAGTAGAGCCACCAATTACCCTGTTCTGCGTGCCTCTATAGCTATCTCCTCATTTTGGCTGGATTTCCACTGATTCTGTTGGGGTTTTTTTATTAGATTTCCAATTTTGGGTTTTTTTAATGATCTTCTCCAGTAGCACGGTTAGTCCTTTCAAAATTGCCAGAGGGAACAGATTTTGTTGTCTTCGGCTATTTGTATGTGAAAGGTTTTAATGCATTTTCATATCTTGAACAAACTGAACTGTGTTTGTGATCTTTTTGTTTGTTTAACCTCACCTCTTCTCCAGTTCTTTCCAGCTGATACCTGTGCCATGTCCATATACCTCTTTGGCCACCTTCTCTGCTGAGTAGCATCTCTGAAAGTGTTTCTGATTTTGCTTAGGTTATTCCTGATCCTCAACCACTCTTCTCATTCTTATTCATCAAACAACGTGTTTTGTGTTACATGTGGACAAATTCTTTTCTCCAGCAATCTGTATTTCATTTTCAGATTTAAGAGGCCTTAATTTTCTCTGGGGGTGGGGCTGGGACTGGTGCTTAAAAGACTTTAAAACACTTTTGTTTAAAACACATTATTAATGTTAAGCTTTTATGTTTTTAAGATTACATCCAGTGTCCATATTGTCAGAGGAGATTTAATGAAAATGCAGCTGACAGACACATCAATTTCTGTAAAGAACAAGCAGCACGTATTACTAATAAGGGGAAATTGGCAGCTGATACCAAAGGGAAGCTTCCTACTCGAACACAGGTGAACTACAACATTTTCTTAGCTTGTAGCTTGCATTCGACATCAAATCAAGCTTGTTCAATAGTGTGTTGCTCTTAAATGAAATGAACTATTTTATTCTGTATTTTTATTATTTGTGCTAGGCTGAAATTAGACACTAAGCATGGAAGATGTTTTTGCTTTCTTATGAGAGTTGCAGAGATCCATTAAGTCAGATGGCAGCAGTTGCAAAGCCAAAACCAGTTATAAATGTAATTCAGAGATTTGTGAAAATGACAGGTAAGGGTAGCAGCAGGAAGTAGAGATGCAGTATTTGTAAAGAAAGTTAGATTTCTGTTGTGCAAGTCTTCTGAGTCTAATTCAAGACTGTTCCTTAAGTGAGCAAGCAAAGGTACATGAGTACAGGATAACTGACAGCAATATTTTGACTAACTAGAGGCTTAAAGAAATTCGTGTGTTTTAAGGTAAGAGCTGTAGTAGTTAACTGATAATGGAAACAAAGGATTAAAGCATACGTGTGTGTTCATTTGCTGGTAATGCTCTCTTTTTCTGGTAGCTGTGAATAGTTAAACAGACATAAGCAGTTACTTAGTGGTTCTTGCACTGTGTTCTGAATAGGTACTGGGACTGGTCCAGAGCACACAGGTGAAAGTAAGATCTGAAAGACAAAAATGGTCCTGCCCTTGAATATTCTTTTTATAATTAACTGGTAATCAGGTGATAATGTGAATCTCAAGAGACAGCTATGGAAAAAGATGAGAAAAGCTGTAGAAAAGCAGAAAATACACAGAGACATATGGGTAAATGAAAAAACAAAACCACTGGGATAATCTTTCCTGCTAGTATCATCTGTACGTATAGGAGAGCAGACTAACGGAAAGCATTTGCATGATCCTGTACCAGAAACAGTTTACCTAGTAGGTATCGTCGTCTGTTCCCACACTACCCGAGATAACTACCTGTCATGTTACATAGATAGTTTGATTTAATTGCTTAAATTTCTAGGTTGTATTTTGTTACAGTACAAACCTGCTGCAGTTAAGAAGATGCCTTCTGTAGGGTCAGCGCCACCATCATCATCATCATCACGCTTACCACAGCCAAGTGGCGTTAGCAAAACTGTTGTAGGTATGAAAAGAATGTTATGAACTTTCCATTTCCTTTCTAAATATTAGTTCGCAAACTATGCAGTAAAAGTAGTATAATTTTAATAGCTGGAAAGATTTCTACAGCATTGCCCAATGATTTAAACTGACAAAGTAAAAAAAACTTACAAGAGGAGTTCAGTGTTACATACATGGGTGCATAAGATGGTATCTATTCTTCATAATACATTTTTTTTGCATGTGACCTGATTTTTTTTCTTACTTACACATGATGGTTATGTACTTCATTGTTGAAATTGATATAGTAGTTTGTAAAAACCGTTGTAAAGTAAAGTTGGAAGAGGCACTGATTGGCATCTATCCAACAAGACTCTTGAGCACATAGGATTCTCTTCTGGTTTATTTATCAGGTCAAATTAGGGTTTTTTCTGCATTGAACCTGCAAAATCGTTCTGTATAGTAATGCATAATTGTATCAAATACTGATCTCTCACCTGAGATTCTTCTGTTGCTTAATTCTGTAGCTAATTTGTATGCTGAATATGATAATGAAATGGTGAAAATACATGGTCATTCCATGTATATTATAATTATGCAAACACCGGTCTTAACCTGATTGCAGATATCATCAGATATCAGACATCTTCTGTTTGTACATACTTTAACATTCTAAGCTGATTTTCGTTCCTTTTTCTTTCTGAAGAAAGTAATTGAGATCTGTTTTGTTAGAATAGAACATGATGTCTCAGTTGCATGTTTTCTGTAAATTTCTGAAATGTCTGCTTTTTCCTAGTATCTTGACACTTGTTCATATCTTGATATTTCTAAAATTCTTGTTTTGAATTTTACAATAAAAAAATGTATAGTGAACTCTATCATTCCAGCAGCAATATCTCACATTTTCTTATATTTCCACACTTGCTTTCAACTGCAAGGTGCCTCTTCAAGTAAAGCACTATCTTCGTCTGGATCCAGTGGGAGCAAAATTCAGACGTTGTCACCAGCTCATAAAAACTCATTGGGAATGGTGAACCCACAAGCAGGGTAAGTTTCCATTTAATGTTGTCATTTATGCTTTATTTCATATTGATGTTGTGCTAGCTCTAGAAGTCTCTGGGTCTGTTTCACTTGCTGCCTTTTTTTTTTTTTCCTGTGAGCTTCAGAAGTGCAGTGTTTTGAATTTATTGTTTATTTATAAACACAGTTAATGTTTAAGGGACCTTGGAGTAGGCAAGGATACATTTTCTAATGTTAGAGTAACTACAAAGGAGGTCCAGTGATAAAAATAGAAAGTAGATTAAAAAGTTATAGAATACGCAGAAGTGATTTGAGCTATAATTTTTTTTTTTAATTGTAAAGTTGAAGAGACTTAAAAAAGGAAAAAACGTTAGGCATAATTTCCTGCAATTTGTGGAAGTAAGAGGCCTCTGCTATAGACCACAAGCCAATTGTGACAGGATCTTCCTTCTTAACACAAAAGGGCAGATACTTCCCGTCTTCCCTTTCCTGTCTTAAAATACTCAAGAGACAACAAATGAATGAGAACAAATAAGGCAATGGAAACCAGTGCCTTACAACAGCAACAAGAAGTGGTAGATGTAGATTAGTGGGGTTCGGTGAAAGCGCTGAAGTGGTCAAGGCTGTTACTGACATTTTGGAGGGGGTCAGTCAGTGCGCACTATCTCAAAGAAGAAATGTATGAAAAGGATTGAAGAAACATGGTGCAACTTTAGAGAAGTTTGAGGAGCACCAAGGAGCACTGAGAGAAAACAAAAAATATAACAGGGTGATTGCAGTTATAACATTGATTGAAGATTTATTCCTATAAAAATGAGTATCAGATTGGTGAAAGCTGTATAAGGTGAGGAGGCACAGGTTTTGGTCTTCATTTCTTAACAATAAAGTTCTATTTAATTCTACCAGTCAGTTGCTCACTGTTTTTACTGTTTTGTATTCTGTGGTCTTCCATTTTCTTGTCTGAAGCTTGGAGGAAGAATAGTGACATGACCAAGCCAAATATCAGTGTCATGGATGAAATATTTTGACAGTTATGATTTAGCAGCAATTCAAAAGTTATTAATGGTGTGAAATAGATCAAAAGGTTGAGTTTTAGCAGCACTGAATCATTAACTGATTTAAAGATTAACAGGGTAATTTAGTAGAATATATTACCATTAAAACAGCGACTTAATTACAGATTTGAGAATGACAAGATTCACACTAACTTAAAACACAAACACAGACAGACAGATAAGCACATAGATGGGTAGAGGGGTGGAGACGAGAGGCTAGCCTATGGTGAGAATTTCCTTTTCTGAGTTTCAGGTATTCACAATACATCGGCATCTCTCAGTGGGCGATGACTGAGTCTTGAGAAAGACCAGTCGTCAGCAATGCCAGAGAGGTGTCCCAAGTTGGGTTGAGGTGCTGGCCACAGCCCGCTGCAACCCAGGAGAGCTCAAGGGTCTCACTTGGAGTTGCTATTTACAGGGTCCAAAATAATTGACTTTCGTCAGGTCCTTCTCCATCTCGGCCCTGCTTGGATGATGTAATGTTCTCATACTTCCCACGAGTTGCATAGGCCCAGAACTCACTGGATCTTGGAGTCCTGGTATCTCTCCCTTTGTGCTACAACCCAGGTACAGGTGTTCAAGGCCTGTTGGTCGCTGTTGTTCTTCAAATAACAGGGTAGGCAGGCGGCAGCCATGGGAAGGGGGAGCCTTAGCGCTCTGGTGTGCTGCCTCGTACAGTCCATACCTGACTTGCCCCGGATTGGTATGCGGCCCAGGGAGGGGACATCACATCAAGTACCAAGGGGCGCGGAATCATAGTACCACAAGCACTTGATCTGTTGAGAGATGTTTCCACAGGTTCTCTCTGTTCACACGTGCTGGCAGCTGCAAATGGACGACTTCTGGTTGGCCTAGCTTTGAGGTGGTGATCTGCTGAGAGGCAGTGAATGTTAGCTTGGCTTATAACCTCACTTAATTGCCTACATGATTTCCAGTTTTTAAGAGTATGGATGTGATGAATGCGTTTCCGCCTGCAGTCCTTCTCACTTCTCTGCTCTAAACAAATTTGTGTTCTCATCTTTGCTAACCGGTCCTTATGATTTCTTGCTGGTCATAATAACCAGTTTTCTCACAGATGGCTGTTAGATGTGTCTCTTTGCCAAGTGTTGTACCTGAGACCTGGCAATTCTTTCTTTTAGCTACTTTGCGTTCACTTCTGAGGAGTTTGCCAGGGGTTACGTTGAAGCAAAGAGGAGTAGGAGCAGTTGCAACATGGAAGAGTTAGGTGCCTCAAATGGGTCACTAGTGACAATTTAGGCCTTAATCATCTCAGCCTTCGTATTGGAGTGTGAGGGGGAAATAAGTAAGGTTCCATTGAAATACCTACAAAATTATATCGGAGCAGGGATTGAGACACTGACAGTCAACATCCTAAGTCAGAGAGTGAGAATAGTTAATACTGTAGCAACACAGATTTTAAGCATTGAAACATCTTATAATTTAGGCTATAGCTAATTGCAGATAGAATTATTTTATAGAATAAAAGTGCTTTTAAAATTTTATAAAAATAATCTTCATTAGGGTGGAACAAGATGTATTTCTTTTGCTACATTTACAATTTAGGCAGTAAAATGACAAGCCATAGCATGAGATCTGGGATTCTGTTGTACCGAAGTCAGGCAGAGCTTGTGCTGTAAGATGTCATGCTCTTCCTTAGGAGTGGTCAGTGAAGTGGTTTACTGAGCACAGTGTTTCACGTGTATTGTTTTACGGGCAGTCTTTCGAATGGAATGTTAAGCAATCCTGTGATTTTTTTTTTGTTGTTGTTGTTTTTTTTTTTTAGTTTTTTTTTTTTTCCTTGGCAAATATTTCAAAGCCTACATACTTTTTTGGCTGGGTTACATCCCAGTTTTTGCTGTAAGAAACAAGCTCCTGCAGTTTTCAGTAAAGGGAAACTCTAAATTTTGGGCGTTTTTACATATTGATTAAGTAAAACCATATATTTTTGTCTGGGTGGCTGTAATTCCAGGTTTAACAGAGAGGTAGTGAAGCTCAATAGTAGAATTACAATTATATTGTGCAATATCAAGGATGAATTATATGTATGTTGGAGGGGGGCGATTTAATCAGACACTGCTTTCTGTAGAATAATGGTACCGGTTCTCTCTGATGGATGTGCAAAGGGGCGAGAAATGACTCTGCTGGCTAATGTTAACAGCCAGAAGTGATTAAAATGCACAGGCGTGCAGTTTCCCTCTTGCTCTTCAGGTGGCACTCTTGAACTGCTGCTGCCTGAAACTGTTAATAGTGACAGGCACGTGAAGCTGTTCCTGCGTTTGTGTTAAAGGCAAAGGGGAAACCGAACTGGGTCTCTAAGGTGTTTGGTTCTGGAAAAGAAAGACTCTTGAAATTCATTTCATATGAAGTTCAACTTCAATATTGCAGTATACATTCTTGTTTTGTATGAGCAGAATGTTAGGAACTCCCTTATTTTAAGTCATTTTTGCTATGCTGTTGCTTTTTTTTTAATTTGAATGCTCCTATTCTGCTCCCCTAGTAAAGGACTACTGAGAGAGCATACCACAGCATCATCAACGTAAACTAGGTTAGCGTTAGGGAGGCTGACTTGGTACACCTAGATCGGGATGTGTCAGCTGAGCTCTGCTGTGGCAGTTTTCTTTTCCTGCCTGGGTGGAGTAAGAGCACAGCTGGTTTATACGTCTTAATGGAAGCGAAGCGTAAGGGCATCATTTCTGAGTCCTAGAGAATTAAGCGAGAGTGCAAGAGTAGCGTGTGAGACTGTAATGTAGTTAGTAGGAAAACCTTCATTCACTTGCATGAAAATCAGATTTCATCATCTTGATGTTGAAAAACTGGGAAAAGGAAAATTAATTCTATATAAGTTGTAGTTAGGCTTATGTTTTGATAGTAAATCGTGTTAAGATCATAAGTTTGATATATATATTTTCTAAGAGTGCATTTCTTGAGGGGTAGGGCAGTTTTAGTAAGCTGTCAGATCTTCAGGAGAAAATATTAGTAGGTGGTTTTTCCTATCCTAAGGCTAAGAAAACAGGCAAAACTCCACCACTACATGCAAACTCTTCTGCCTAGCAGAACGTGACACCACTGCTTGTGGCCAGCCAGGGATCTTTTGCATGTACAGATTAATGGTCTATGCATGCTTCATTTATGAACAGTATTTTTAAATTTTTTTTTACTGGGACTTGAAAAATTACATGATGTTTTTCAATATAGCAAATGAACCCTTAGAAATTACTTTGTTATTTTATTTTGGGGATAAAGCATACTATTTAATGTTAAGCTGATCAAAGTTACGCCTTTTGGGAGTCATGTCTGTTAATGACACATGCAGTACTGTCTTGCAGCTGAAATCCAATATGAATGGCACACCTAACCGGTATCAGTACCTTTTAAACTCCACTTACATATTTGCCATACAGAATGTGTAGCCTTTAAAAACATTATATTTTTAAAATAGCTTGCTCTTTTTGTTAATACTATTACTTACACAGCTTTGTTCAGTGAAATCAAGGTAAATAACAAGTTGTCTTGGTGGTCTTTGCATTTCAGAAGATTTGTATGGTTGTGCTTATTTCTATTAGTAAATGAAAAGGCTGTCAGCTTTGGGGTTTTTGTTTTTTGAAGTGTGGAAGAATGCTGTAGTGCTTTATTTTGGCAGTATCATGACTGCTTCTAGGTTATTGTCTTCAGTATTCTACGCTATAGGTGCCTGGAGTTCGCAGATTACGTTGATAAAGGCTCAGAAAAGAGCTAAGAAAGTCATGATAGGTTGGAGTATTTGACTTGTAGTGTCAAAGACCTCAGTCTTGATTCTCAGTCCTTGGGAAATATGTCAAGAGTGTATATTTCGTCAAACAGGAATTGATTAAGCATTTCCTGAGTTAATTAGTTTGAACTATAACATCTGTTTGGGAAGAGGAGTGGGAAGAGGAACTCTAGGGGAGCTTATTTGACAGCCTGCATTATTTGAGGCTAAATTGTCAAGACTAAAATCTGTGTTCCCTGCTGACTTGATAGTGAATGTACATCATTTAGCATTGTTGAATTTTGGTTTCTTATGGGCAGATTTCCTTTGATGCTTTAAAGATGTAACATGGATTGCAAGGTTCACACCGGAAGCTTCCCAAAAAACAAATTCTGTAGCCAGCTTCATAGGTTCTGCCTTTTAATACGATGTTATTGTAGGAAGAGTATGAAAAGTAGTGTGATATGGGTGTTAGAGATACACAAACGCCTTTTGTTTCAATATATTAAAAGCTATATTGAAAGTAATGTTTCCTTGACATATTATTTTATGTTGTAAATTACTGTTTAGTAATTTTCCTGGCATTGTAGTTTATTAGGGTTGTATGACAAGAATCAAGAATCAGAAAAGTGCACAGTAACTTAATGAAATTATTTCAGTGTGAGGGTGTGTTTGGTTTTGCTTGTTTGTTTTTTCCTCATGACTTCTGTTTAGGGGTGGGAGGCTTACAGAAGAGTTAAGCTTCAGCTACCCAGACATTTCCATCAATCTTGCTTGGTTTGTTTCTTTATAGTTCTTTAATTTCAGAAAGATCACTAAAAATACTCTTTAAGTGTCAGGGTGAAGTTACTAGGCTTATTTTGAGAAGAAACAACTTCTGTTACATTAGGAGTGGATATATAATGGGCTTTTTGCAGGTTTTACTGTAATATTTAAGATTATAAAAATGCAGAACTTTACTTGAAGACCTAATTTTTCTAATGTAAGTTGTGATTTCTCAAAGGCTACAGTTGTGCTTATGTGTGGGAGGGATGGTGTTATGTTTTGTTGTTGGTTTGTTTTTTTATTTAATTAATGTTTTTTAAATACTATTTTTGATTTATTCATTTTGGTTTGCAAATGTTATCCATAATAATAAAAAAAGTCTTGAAGAATTGCTGGTGTGTATAGTACTGTCTATTGTGGGTGGGGTTTTTGATATTAAAGCAAAGTTGTTTTTCTTTCAGGCTTTGCTCTGTTCTTTTCTCATCTCCATAGAAGAAAAGAGAATGCAAGGCATGTTATTTTCTCTGAGAACAGTGTTCAGCCTTTACAAAAAAAAAAAAAAAAAAAAGAAAGAAAAAGGAAAAATTTTCCTTTTTGCTAATTCTGAAGTTAAGGAGGCTTGTACTTACATCTCTGTTATTTTTCTAATACCTTAATAAAGTTACTATGACTTTTAATTATGAGCTCCCTTTTCTAGATATAAGTTTGACATTAGAAAAGCTATTCTTAAAAGAAGAAAGGCCAAATGTGAGTGCATTGTGCAGATTGTGATGATAACTGGCATTAGTTTTTTTGTTCTGTTTAAAAAAGAATTAAAAAAAAAATGCACTGGACACATAATCCAAACAAAAGTCTATGAAATCATCTGTTTGGATTATTAAAGTCTGATTTGTACATTTATTTTTTTTTTGTCAATGGGAATTCTTTGGGAATATAAGTATTTAATTGTGAGTATTTTAATGGTTTTTGCGATAATTTGAATAGCAATCTAGCAACCTCCTTATGAGTACCCCTTTATATATTTTAGTAGTAAGATGGAGAAGTTAGGCCCACCACTGCGAACTGGAAGAGATGTGCAAAGGTTTTATGACACTGACACAAAAACAGACAGTACCATCAAAAGACCAAATGAGTTGTTGCCTATAAAGAAGTAAGTATTACAAATCAGCGGGGTTTATCTGTTTTGCAGAAAGGTTCCTCCAGAGCATTGGAATAGGAACAGTGTGACCTTGACAGGCATCTACTGCCCAGTATGTCTTCAATATAAATGCTGTTTGGAGTATATGATATAATTAGTATAAGTATCTGTTTCATGCTAGGTACACAGCTTTGTAGTAGGATGGGAAAGATGAAGACTTTTCTCAGGTTTGATTTCTTCTGTCACTGATTGTGGACTGAGAGTCATGAACTTCTATCTCTGTAAACCTGAGATGAAACTGAATTTGCATGATGTAAAGCTGAAGTAAGCATTTGAGCCTGCTAACTGTACAAATACCTGCCTTACAGGCAAAAGTTTTATGACACAGTGATTTTATTGTCTTAAATATAGTCTCTTAAATAAAAATTCTCTTAAAGTCAAATATTTATGTATCTCCTACTTCTATCAGTTAGCTGTGGTCCAAGAATGTAAGCAAGGCAGGCTCTCTAATGAGAGGTAAAGTCTTCTATTGAGTCCAGCTTGTCTCATGTAAAGTCTTCTGAATATTCAGCAAATTTAAGATCCAAATTTTGAAGAAAGGGTATTCCAATCTTTCAAAAATGAAATAGATACTATATTGTAGTTAAGCCTTTGACATAACGTAAAAGATGCCAAATTCAAATGGGCTGATTCTTCATAAACAATGCCTTAAAGTGTATTGCAAAGGAGAAATTAGTAATGAATTATCCATGGACATGGAATGTAATGCTTTAAATAGCGGAAATGTGTCTAAATCTCTTAATGCTGTTTTAGTGTTGCAACCAAAGCCAAAGTACCTTTGAGACAGGGCTGGTATATTTGAACTTGGGTTTCTACTTGAAGAAGCAAAAGGGGTGAAAGGGCGGGGAGAGAGAGACGAAGCTCTTTTTAGACAAACAGAATTGTTGTTGTTCCTTTGCGTGTTTGGTTAGAGCTATACATCCTGTGAACCATCAAAAATTAGGTCAATTTTTCATTTTATAATACCAATACTAAGATTGAGAATTTGGCTTCATGAGTTACTAAACATGCTTACAATAGCCCCTGTCCTTAAAGCAGTGATAGTTGGTTTTTCTTCTTGAGAGTACTTAAAGCTTTAAGAGTATAGGCACTTATTCTGCTCTTTGTAACATCACTGGGTTTTTTCGGTTGTTCACTGAGTTAATGAATTAAATCTGCCTTCCCTGCGGGAGGTTATTGAATATGTTATGTGCCAGCAGCATTTGACAAGTGTGACTGGCTACTAGCCATTGCTAAATTCAGCATAGCAGCGCGGATAGTCACAGTTTATGGCAAAGATTTCTGGACTTTGGCGTGTATGCCATTAGTCATAAGGAACTTATGATTTTGCACAGAACTATGAGCTGTTGTGGGTGATGGTGATAGCTATCAAGAATATCTGAAAACTCCCTGTCTATAAAGCAAGCTTGATATTTCAGTATTTTATGGCAAAATCCAACCAAATTGTGAATGTGTAAATAGAAAAAAAACAAGCTGCTTTTACAAATTTCTTTCATTTTTTCATATTGCAAGCAGTGGTAATTCAACTAAATGTACAACATGAGCTGCTTTAGGAAAGGAAGTCCGCTTCAGTCTTCATTTCTTTTGAAACTGAGAATGGGTAATAAATGTCTTTAAAGGTATGTCCAGATTTTAAGAGTTCAAGGCGACATTGGTACACAGCCTCACCTGCTGTCAGGCTCCATTAATACTTCACGTGATACAACTTAAAACAGGGATTTATATGGCTTTGCAAAAACAAAACAGAACAATGCAACCAAGCAGAAAAAATCCAGTAGAACTGGACGAGTAGATAGAAGTGGCAGAGGTTGGACAGATCAGAAGAGACCAAGCTGTGGTGGCAAAAGTTGAGATAATCAAGACTGACTTTGTTGGAAGATATCTGTCTCTAGAGATCAGATTGCATCTTAAGGGTGCGATTTCAAGATTTGTCATCAAATACACATGAAACATGATGCTAATTGTGTGTCTGGGATGAATAAAGTTGCAGACAGTGGTAGCCTGCTACTTCTGTTGATTCACTCATCAAAAATGGCAGAAGTCATTCCAGTTAATTATAAGACTCATGTTGAAGTTTCTAGTCTCAAAATAGATTTGGTTTTTTCTGTATTTTTAGAAGACTAATTGGGGAAAAAGATCTGCAGGAATTAATGCAGAAAGCTATGTTTAAACTCTTCTGAATTAAGATGGTCTGTTAAACCTTTAATAAATGATGTTTTATCTGTTCATGGGACTCTGCCTCCCTCAATAGACAGGGTGGGCAGTGCACTTTCACTGTGGCTTTTCAGGGTTTTCTTTGGCGGGGTCTTTTAGTG